GGCCTACCGGGGACCACGAGCCAGAACCTGGGCCCCCCTCAGAGAGGCATGGGGATCAATGGCCTATAGAAACCCCCGTGTGGTTGGAAGCATTTTATGTCTGCCATTGACCAGGTCAGCCACCCAGAAAGGTAAGCATCTTAAAACAAACTCAAATTCCGGTGATATTATTACTAACAAAAGCCGAACAAGTGGATAAAACCCCTCAAAGAAACGAGCAAATGACCAGACCCCTCACGCCGGCTATCCACTTGTCAGTTCTAAGGCTGATGCTGGAGGCTGAGGTCGTGTGCTCTGACTCCGGTGGTTGTTTAAGCACTGTACCTAGAGTGTTGTGACTGTCTTCTAGGTGGTGCGTGAGCCGGGAGTGATTCTCCAGTACTTGGGCTGCATGTGCCTAGGGTTTCCTTCCCTAGGTGCCCTGTAAGTACTGTACTGCCCTTGGGGCTTGGGGTTCACTTCCACAAGTTCTTTGGGTTTTGTCCCTGCTAGGCCGTTTACTGCTTGGTTTTCGGCCACCCTTTGTGTGCTAGGGTGTTCTGTCTCCTTTGTTCACCTTGGGGTAGGGGGCAGTTTGCACTGGTAGGGGCAAAGGGTACTGCGCAGTTTGTTTTTACCAATCATGACGGCCAGCTCTGTTCCGCCTGGGTACACTGTCCTTTTGCGGGGGGTTTTCTTTTTCTTTTTATTTGCCTGCCTGGTGGGGGGGGTCTGCCTTGGTTCTTGCTCCCTGTGTAATGAGTACTCTTCCTTCTTCCGGTGGTTTCCCCTGCTAGGTCCCCATGAGTGTACACGTCTCGGGGGTTCAGTTCTTAGAAAGTTGTTTGGTATTTGTGGGTGCTTGTTAGCAGTACCCTACCTGGGATTACCTGGGCGTGAGTCCCTGTAGGTAAACGCTCAGGACCCTGGAAAACTCCGAGGGGGCGCATGGGTTCGATGGATGTGGCTCCCGAGTCCCCTCCTCGCTTTGTGCGAGTTCGAGGGTTGCTCTGTCCCCTTGTCTCAGGGTGACTCTCACTATTTTGCCTCCGTCTGCTGCCTGTGGGGTTGGTGGCACTTTCGGCCCTGAACCCTGCAAGTTTTGTTACTTGTTTGTAGCTCAATTACCCAGCTTTCTGCTGACTATGCGGGTGCAAGCAGCACGGGCGTTGCAAGTTGTGTTTCAGTGGTGCAATGCGCTAGGTCGTTTACTCCCCGGGAGCCCCGGGGCTGCCCCATTTTGGTTGGTGTGACAGGGCTTGGGGGTGTTGGACACTTCGGTTTTGTTCCTTCCGCGCCCCCTTGTCTTTCCCCTGTTATGGTCCCTCCCCTTTTCCTCCCTGCATCCGGATCCTTACCGTTTGTGGGTTTGGGGGTCAGGGCAGGGCTTTGCGGGTCTTGAGACTTGGGCGGTCTCAGGGATTTCCCCCTTCCGGGGTAGCGACGGAGGCATTCGAGCCTGTTCCTCCAGCTGTGGTGTACAAGTCTGCCAGTAGGCTCCCTTTTCTGGGGGGAGCCCCGTCGGCTCCCCGGAGCTATCCCAGGCTGATATGCTAATGTCAGACTTTGGCATCAGTCATGTGTATGGAGTTCTTAGGCCTACCGGGGACCACGGCCAGAACCGGGCCCCCTCAGAGAGGCAAGGGGAGCAATGGCCTATGGAAGCCCCCGTGTGGTTGGAAGCATTCTATGTCTGCCATCGACCGGAACAGGCACCCAGAAAGGTAAGTGCCTCAAAACAAACCCCTATTCTGGTTAAAATTGCTACCAAAAGCCGAACTAGTGGATAGAACTCCCCAATCGAAAACAAGCAAACTAGTGTGACGTCACACACAGCCGCGCCGCTGTCTGTGCAGCTCCCCCCTCCCCGGGAGGAGGAAGGGGGAGCCCCAGATCCTTCACCCCAGCTACCCACACCTCAGTTCTTGAGGCTGGATGTCAAAAATGCGAAATACTGCCGACCGGAGGGAGGGAGGGATGCCGGGGAGCCTCCGGGACTCACCCAGAAAATGACGTTTCATTACATTCAACGCTGGTTTTCTGGGGGGAGCCCCATCGGCTCCCCGGAGCTAACTACCCACAGACGGAAAAAGAGGGACTTACCCGGGAGGCGGTCGTCGCTCACTCAACTCGGAAGCCGAGACAACTGGCTGCAACCGCCGACCCAAAGCAACACAGGCCCGGCACAGCGACATGTGATGTCATGATCGTTTGCTCGTTTCTTTTAGGGGAGTTCTATCCACTTGTTCGGCTTTTGGTAGCAATTATTTCACTAGAATAAGGGTTTGTTTTTGGATGCTTACCTTTCTGGGTGCCTGACCCAGTCGATGGCAGACATAGAATGCTACAAACCCCACGGGAGTTTCTATAGGCATTGCTTCCCATGCTTCTCTGAGGGGGCAAGGTTCTGGCTTGTCGTCCTCAGTAGGCCCACTGAACTCCATACACATGACTGATACCAAAGTCTGACATTAGCATATCAGCCTAGTAAGCTCCAGGGAGCCTCCGGGTCTCACCCAGAAAATGGCGTTTCATTACATTCAACGCTGGTTTTTTCTGGGGGGAGCAGCCTGTCGGCTTTCCGGAGCTATACCAGGCTGATATGCTAATGTCAGACTTTGGCATCAGTCATGTATATGGAGTTCTTAAGGCCTACCAGGGACCACGGCCAGAACCTGGCCCCCTCAGAGAGGCAAGGGGAGCAATGGCCTATAGAAACCCCCGAGTGGTTGGAAGCATTCTATGTCTGCCATCGACCGGGTCGATGTTTCCATCGACCGGGTTTCTGCCATCCAGAAAGGTAAGCATCCCAAAACAAACCCCTATTCTGGTGAAAATTGCTACCAAAAGCCGAACTAGTGGATAGAACTTCCAACAAAAAACGAGCAAACTAGTATGACGGGTGACGTCATCGCGCCGCTGTCTGTGCAGCTTCCCCCTCCCCGGGAGGGGGAAGGGGTAGCCCCAGACCCACCACACCAGCGATCCACACCACAGTTCTTCGGCTGATGCTAGTAATTACCTAAGTGTAATTACCTAAATGTAGTTACAGGATGAGAGCTACGCTCCTGGTGTCCTGTCTTCCCAGCACTCTTTGTCATATAACGCTTTGAGGCACCGGTTGTGTGCTCTGGCTCCAGTGGTTGTTTCAGCACTGTGCCTAGAGTGTGGTGTCTGTCTTCTAGGTGGTGTGTGAGCCGGGAGTGAGTCTCCAGTACTCGGGCTGCATGCGCCTAGGGTTGCCTTCCCTAGATGCCCTGTAAGTACTGCCCTTGGGGTTTTGGGTTACCTTCCACAAGTTCCTTGGATCCTGCTTCTGCTAGGCTGTCTACATTTTGGCTTTCGGCCGCCCTTTGTGTGATGGGGGGGTTCTGTCTCTCTTGTTCGCCTTAGGGTAAGGGACAGTTTGCACTGGTAGGGGCGCAGGGTACTGCGCAGCTTGTTTTCACCAATCATAGCTGCCGGCTCTGTTCCATCTGGGTACGCTGTCCTCTTGCAGGGGTTTTCTTTTTCTTTTTTGTTTGTCTACCTGGTGGGGGGTCTGCTTTTGGTTCTTTCACCCTTCGTACTGGATTCTTTTCCTTCTTCCGGTGGTTTTCCCTGCTAGGTCTCTGTGAGTGTACACGTCCCAGGGATTCAGTTCTTAGAAATTTGTTTGGTAGGCATGGGTGCTGGTTAGCAGTACCCTGCCTGGGATTACCTGAGTGTGAGACCTTTTATAGTAAATGCTCAGGACCCTGGGAAACCCCCTAGGGGAAGCATGGGCAAGATGGATGTGGCCCTGGAGTCCACCCCCCCCCCTCGCTTTGTGAGAGTTCGAGGGTTGCTATGCCCCCTTGTCTCAGGGTGTTGTCTTCACCAGACAACACCCGTCCTACTACCAAAACTGGACGAATCACTTCCAAAACGACACACCCTGGACGCAAACACAGTGGCCTCCTTATCAGAGCCTCAGATATTAACACCAAGTAAGGCTTCCAGCACTTCCACTAACACGATAACATCATTTATATTTGCCAACATCCAGGGTATAAAAACACGCAAAACCAACAAAGTTCAATTTATAGATGGTCTCCTTCATGAGGCAAATGCAGTGTTTGCAGCCCTAACAGAAACCCACACAAAGGACTACCATGATGGTGAAATATGGATCTCAGAGTACAATCTTTTCAGATGTGATAGGAAACACTGGCTTCAGGGTGGGGTCAGCCTCTACATCAAAGACACACTCATCTGTACTGAGATGCTAAACACCTCAAATGATATGGTGGAAGTGCTGATAATCAAAATAGAGATTCTA